TTCTATCTTAATCTTATCAACAAATTTAAGGATAACATGCATGTTTTCTTTTGACCTGACCCAGTTCTTTGATCAAGAAACAATACTTAGCACAGATATCTTTTCTGATAGCGCCACTAACAGGTTCTTCAGTAATATTAAAATAAACCCAGGGGACTGATTTGAACTCTACCACAAATGTTCAGGTTTCCATGCCATAAGCAGCTGCTAATATTTGACGAATGTGTGAAGTATGTACTGGGTGGAACACAGTTGATTTTATTTCCAAAAATAACACATAAAGATTACCAGAGCTCAATTATATAGGCAGATAGGTAAGGACTCCACCTTTATTTATATAGCCATTTTCATCCAAAAGCAGCGTGGTTATACAATGAATGCATACAAATACATAGAAGTTCTTAACAAGTTATAAGAGATACATAAAAGTGAATTAAAAATAAGCAGTTTAAATTACATTAGTTCATAAAAACAAAAACGTTTTAACCTTGTATGAAAAGAGCTTTGGGTGGCGGCAGTTCTACAGCGTACAGGAAGCTTTATTTGGATTGTTGCAGCAACAAATCTTAAGGCTGCTTCAGTGTCTTTTATGAGTCTTGAAATGGTGAGTACTGTGAGTTTGACTCTGATGATCTTCAAGGTCTATATGGTTTTTAGCATTCAAGAAGTTCAGAGATGTAATGAGGGCTCTGACTAGTGAGTGCCTTATAAAGACTTTAGAACTGGACAGATGTGCTGGTCTGTTCTTTTTATAACAGTTTTAAGAAGTTGGACTGTCTGATTCTCAGTCTGATGATAAAAAAGTATGAGCTTATTTTTTTTCAGGATCCTGACATCTGTTATCTCACTCTAGCAAAAACATTTAAATAATAATACATTTAATCTAGTTATCATGATTTATATCTGAATCAATGATCATCCCAAGGTTTCTACCCATATCAGAGGTCTGCAGGAAAACAGACATAAGATGGGCACTGATATTTTAATCAATGCTCTTTTGGTCTAAGAAGACACACTTTTGTTTTATCTTTATTCAACTGAAGAAAACTTTTTATCTAGTGAAGAGGTTAGAGAAATAATATCTTAATCAGAGGAGAAACCAATAGAAAATATAGAACAAATGAACGTTCTTGCATGAGAGAGAAAAAATTCCTAAAAAAAAAACACCCGGAATTTATTAAAG